TCTAATTATTTTACTTTCCTACAGGCTTTTCAAGATGGCTAAATTTAAAATTGCTGTAACACTTTAAGCAGTCTCTTCCTTTAAATGTGGCTTGACAATTATTTCTGAGGGAAATTATTAAAACCACAGCCTTTAATCAGGGGAAGAACAGAACAGCACAGCAAGCTATGGGGAGAGATGGTTTGTCTAATAAGATTCACATAATTGTGTGAGAGCGATCAAATTTTCAAAGATTGCATTAAGACCGCGGAATCTGTAATTTTTGAAGATGTAGGAAGTGATTCATAGAGTATGATGCTGAAGCCTAAACATGGTCACATTCTAGTCTTTAAATTTTGACTGGGGCGCTACTTACTTTTTGAAAAGGGTCATTTATTTAAAAGCAAGTTAGCATCCTTCTTCAATAATCTAAATCAGTTTAACACACTTCAGTGACATTATTTGGGCATTTTTCACAATTATTCCAGATAACTCACTTTTCTCTGTAGACTGTAGGGTCAAAAACAAATTAAATCAATGGATTTTCTTCCTTCACTTTCTCAGATGAGTCAGAAGTCATTGGTCCAATGTGCACATGACCTTTCTTCTTAAGCTTAAAAACCCAGACAACCTGTTGGAAAGACATTTGACCAATCTGATTATTTTCTCTATACTAATTGGTTTTACTTCTTCATTGAATTGAATGAATTGCCTGGTTGTTTTATCACTGTAGAGACAGAACTTAATCCACTTAGAGTGAGCACTTGTGCTTGGGAAACTATGGGGCTAAAGGAAAATATATCATCATTATTTTTGGAAATGTTTAATGGGTGAGAATGAAGACACGCCTTGAATTCATCCATTTTATTCCTTTCTGCTTCCACCGCCCTGGCCAAGCCCTCTCAACCTGGCCCCTACACCACCGTTGTAAATTATTTTCTCGCTTCTACTGTCTCCTCTCAACTTTGTTTCCAGGTAGTAGCAACATGAGTCTTTAAAAAATGTAACTCCCCTGCTGAAAATATTGGCTTCTTCACTATGAATGCAGAATAAAGATTTACACATCTTACCGCGGCCACCTGTATCCTACACGATCTGTGTCCTTGGTGACTTCCCCACCTCCTTCTTCCCCCTACTCCTTTGTTCATGAGACTTCTGAGCTTCCCATCAACTGCTTAATTTTCCAAGTTCAAGGTCTCTGTATTTGTTCTTCCCTTGTCTGGGATGTCTTTGTAGACTGGTTCTTTCTCATCCTGAGGCCATCTTTTCAGAGAGGTTTTCCTTGACTATATAAAACAGTCATTCCCCCATTACTCTCTGAAATAAGCCCCCTCATTTATTGTTACTTTCTGCCATGCCCCCTGTTTATTATGACTCCCTGTAATTCTCTCCTCATTTCTTGTCAGTCTCCATCATTGCCTCCTGTTTATGATTCTGTAATACTCTCATTTATCTTTACTCTCTATAATATCCCCACTCTCGGTTTCCTTCATGATCTCATCATAATCTGAAATTACCTAACACTTCTGTGTCCCTGTCTTCGTTTTTCTTTCCTCATTACAGCAGGACCTCTTGAGGTCAGGGCCGCCTTTTAAAAAATTCTCTTCAGGTCTCTCAGGGCTGAGCATGGTGCCTAGTTAGATGAAGGGAGCTGGGACATAGTTGTTGAACAAATGAATGGAATATCAAAAACTTGATTCTGTTCCATTAGATGAAGATAACCCTGGTACACAGGTGGGTCAAGAAAAGTTGCATTGAAAGAAAAAGCTTTGCTTTCTTTCCCAAACCATTGCACTCTCTATAGATTTTCATTGTTGATTTGCTCAGAATTAGTGTACTTGGTAATCTCGTAACCCACCCTTTGAGATATAAGAAGTAGGTCTGTTCTTTAGGTTTAAAATGGACAATGTAACACAATCATTTACCTCCACTTTCCTCTAAAGACCCAGGAGGAGTCAGTAAGTGAATATACTTGTAGTGCACATACTCACCAGAAGAAGATGACTTGGGGAAGAAATGACTCTGTGCTGTGGAAGCTGGAGTGCAGAGGCTGAGTAAGAACTGATATTGCAGATTCCAGAGAACTGAATCCTGATTTAATAGAGGTTCTTACCCCCCAAAGCGCAGAAATCCAGGGACCAGGTAGGGCTGAAATCAAGGAGACTGTGTGAAAGACTAAGATGCAAACAGACCTCAAATCCCCACCTTGCTCCTGCTTCTCAGAGCTTGATAACTTCCCTCCTTCTGCATACAAAGTGAAGACTAGGGGTTCAATCTCTGGACAACATACAAAATACCTGGGGACACCTTGCACAGTTAGCTCAGCAGGGGAGCGAGGAGACTAGAAGGAAAATGGGGTTTAATCAAATAGTTGGTATTGCATATCGAGCTACCCCCAAAATCTCTTTGCCAATTTTGACTCCAGAATGCTGGCAGCCTGATTTATACTTTCCAGGCAGGAGACCATAGAACTCTTCCTGAAGAAGCTGATTTGTACATGTGAAGACCTACAGATAACTGCTTCAGGGTGTCCACTTAAACATGTTCACCAGATAATCCTATAGTGAGGGCCATGGCTGACAGACTGCACTTGCAAAGAGCACCAAATCAGCTTGTTAGCACTTATTTCCTGTATATGAGCAGATACTTAATATTGCTATATGTCTCAGGAAACCTCTAACCTGAAGAGACAGATAAAAACAAACTGAAAAAAAGAAACTTAGAAGAGCATCTACGGAAAGACTGGCAAACTTCAACAACAACAACAAACCATTATTGCCAGAGGTGAAAGTTGTTGGAGCCATGAGCTAAGAGCACATTGCTATAAAAAAGAATATGGAAAAGGACACTTGGAAGTTAAAAACATGATAACAGAAATAGAAACTCATGGAATTGGACTATAACCCTGAAGGATTCCCCAAAAAGTAAAAGAAGACAAAGAAATAGAAAATAGAAGAAGAAAAGTTAATAAAAATAGAGGGTTATACCAGGAGACTCAATAATCTAAAAAAAGCTGTCCTGAAAAGAGAGAAAATGCAAATCAGAAGAAAAAAGCAAAGGAATAGCAAGTAAGTTTCAAGAATTCTGTTGTACAACATGGTGACTATAGTTAATGACAGTGTATTCTTGAAAATTACTGAGAATAGATTTTGTGCTCCTACCATACACAAACAAGATAAGCATGTAAAATCATGCATTTGTTGATTAGCTCCATTTAGCCTCTTACAATGTATATGTATTTCAAACAACTTGTTGTACATGACCAAAAAAAAAAAAGAAAGAAAAAGAAAACCATATTTTTCTAAAACCAAATGACATGATTCAGATTGAAAGGATCCATTGAGTGCCCAGACAATGAATGAAAATAGACCCAGGACTATGGTGACACTGAAATAAAGAAGAAACTCAGAGCTTCCAGTGAGGGAAAACCAAAAAAGATTTTATCCAAAGGATCATGAATCATAAATCATTATTGTCTCCAGACTTCTCAACAACTAGAACACAATAGAGCAATGTCTTCAATTCTGAAGGGAAATGATTTCCAATTCAGAATGTAATACCCAGCCAAACTACCAATTAAATCTAAACAATTTTACTTCATCTACCCTTTCTTATGAAGCTACCAGAAGGTTTGTGTTAGGAAAGCAAGAGAGTAACCCAAGAAAAAAGAAGTTGTGGAAGTCCAGGAATGAAGAAAGAGGTATAGAGAGCCACACCACAGCAGTGGTGAAGGGGGAACCCAGGGGCACAGTCAAATATTGGGCGTGGAGCAAAGTCATCCATTTGAAGTAAGTCAGAGTTTTGAGAGAGATATTTCTAAGAAAATAATAAGAAATCTCGGGCAACTGGAGAAGAGGTTGGGAAGTAATTTTAGGAATAAGTCCATAGAAAACTATGCAAAATTTTTAAACAACAAAATAATTATTAACTCTAGGAAAAACAATTTTGGCAAGAAAAGGCAACATAATTATGGTACACTACATGGCTTGGTGGTGGAAGGTATGTTCTTAAACTACAATGTAAACATGGACTATTCACCTGCATAATAGTAGGAAATCTGAGTTAGCTACCTGTGGAGAGGATAGAGGTGAAACATGTGCTTCTGTATGGGATTGTGAAGGCTGTAGAGGAGGGGAGCTGGAAGAAGAGCTAAAACCTCCTCGACCATGAGAAGTCACAGGTTATAGTCCACAAGTTGGGGAGATAAAAATCAAAAGAATCCCAAATGGGAAAAGACGAGTGTGTTGGCAGGGGTTGCTGTTTTTCTTAATAAGTAGAAAGGTTTGACTTTTCAACTCTGTACATATGTAACTTTTATCAAATTAAAAGCACATTTAAAAGTGGGTCTAATGCTTCTTATCCAGTGACACAGCCATTCTGGAATGTTTTTCTGATCTCATAGCACTCTCTGAATTTCTGTGGTCCTTTTGACCTGTATGCCAGGTCACGAGGAGAAGATGGAGGAGAGAGTGAGGGTGAGGGACAAGGGCAAGAAGTTGCAGGGGAGGCCGTTTTGTGGGTATTGTCAAGGTCTATCTTTTCTCCCACAATCACAATATCCACAACAGAACAACAGTATCACAAAGCCAACTCATCCCCTGCTGCCCGGGCACTCTAGTGGTGACTATGGCATGATTACCTCTAGGGTTTCTATCAACTCAGACTACTTGCTATTATGGCCAGAGAATTCAAGCTGATCTACAACTAGCCTAAACAAACATGACCAAAAAGACGATTCAGATGAAGAAAAGTCACATTAATTTTTTTAAAACCATATATATACTTTAGGGATATTTCTACTCTGGGAATTGATCTTGTTGTTTCTTTCCTTTACAGAAGTGGGCATACTTTATCCAACCAAGTGTGAATTGGTTGGAGATAAACTGAATTCCTGCACATACCATGCGAGATGAGGGTTAATGAGCTCAGAATTGTCATTTAGACATGGACAACCTCCCAGGAAATTACTCTTTGCAATTTTGTAATGCCAGATGTATATAAATGCTCCTCCCTGTGTTCAGGTCTAAGTCTGCAAGAGGAGCTATCTTGTGCCACCTCGGAATCATCTGTTTGTTGTGGGAACCAAGAGAAGAAGAAAGATGACTACAGACAAACCTCAGGACTCTTCTCTCCTAGTACAAGGTCAATGACTGTCAGAGAAATCAACAAACTAACTGTGAAGGTAGGCATTCTGATTTTGAGTTGTCTCTACCTATTCATTGTCTAGATTTATAGTTCTCCTTGTTCTTGTGGTTGTTAGCATGGCAAAACTTGCCCACGTTGTGTACAAAAGGAGACCCCCCAAATTGAAATTATCTTTTGGAGGGCAGCCATCTTTTAGGACAGGCTCCCTTTCTAGTTAAGTGTTCTGGGAACCCACTGGCATCGGTGTACCAGCTAACATTGTTGGGAGAGACTGCATTCAGCTTCAGTTTTTTGTTTTTTTCTTTTTGAGATTCTTTCACTGTGTTTGCCCATTTCATGATGGGTGATTTATGAGCTCACCTGTTCCCCCTTTGCTCAACATTCAGCAATTATTGATCAAAACTGGCATGACTCTCATGCCCCATCCTCCCTATTCACTCTGTCTTACCTTGAACAACTTTTTTTGTGTGTCCCTGGATGAAAAAAATCCTCAAAGGGAAACGTTTTGCCAATGTGGAAGAGGTGAAACAAAAAAATGGCAGAAGCACTAAAAGGCCTCCAAATTGAAGAGTTCAAAAACTGTTTTGAGCAGTGGAAAAAATGTCTCAATAGGTGTATTGCATCAGACGGAGAGTACTTTGAAGGTATCTGATGTTTATACATGTAAGAATAAATACACTTTGTAAATAAATAAATTCTGGGTTTTTTTTGGAAAACCGAATAAGCAAACAAACACACCCAAACATTCTGCATTGAAAGAATGGGCAGTTTTGGTTGTAAAGCCAAAGTTGGGATGATTTCTGATAGCTTATTAAAATCCCAAGTGTTATTAACTCACCCATAAATAACAGAGAGAGATACTGCCAGACATCTCTATAACATGAACTGTCCCCTAGGCAGATTGTGAGGCTGCGTGTTGAAAACCGCTAAAATACTAATCCAGACCACACTTTGAAACACGCTCATCTGGAAAAGAGCTCCAATTCACAGTATATAAAATAGTACATCCTCTTCATGAGCAGCGGTGACTTAAAATAGGAAGCTCAAAACTGGTTAGATAATTGAGTGGTTTTGTTTTTCACAAAGCCACAGAAAAATACGTAGAATCTCAGCAACCTATTTTGTATCAATAAGAAGCCTTATTCAAGTTAATACACCAATCAGTTATCAATGGACACTTATTGAGGGCATCATATTGAAGTTCACGCTCAGTAAAGAATCATTAAGACCTCAAGACCTTGTTTTCATTGAGGACCATATTTCCATCCACATTTTTCTTTGTACCAGTTAACCTTTTTTCCCCATTTTTTTCCTTTGCACTTTGTTGCAGGATATTTCTCCATCTGCCGGTGAGTGTGGTGACTGTTCTCACAACACTGCTGCCAGGGTGTCGGGATTATCTCTGCAATCTGATACCTGCAGGGCAGTGGTTAAGGACAGTCCTCTGCCCCATGACAAAGGCCTTGACCTTGGAATGCTGGAGACCCAGCTGCTGCCCTCCCAGGATCAAATCTTAACAGATCCCAAACCATGCATTTTCTCAGATGCCCATGAGCCTTCTACCTTTGGGCCCAAAGGAACTTTTCTACGCCATGACATTGCTACCTCTGTGGCTGTTTGCCTTTCTCTGGGAGTGACAGCAGGTGACATAGCCCTGGGAACTCACAGTAAAGAGCCTCAAGATTACAGCTGGGCTGCAGTAGATGCTCTGGCACCAAGCTCCCCAGACAGCAAAGCCACGGCAGAGAACAGCACACAGATACTCTTGCCAGGAAGACCTTCATCTGGGCAAAGAATTTCAGGTTTGGTACCATTGGGGGCAACTGGAAAAGCTCATCTCGAAATACCAGATTCAGGACCAAGTTCAACTAGTTCACACCAAAAGGAAGGGAGACCCAAGACATTTTTTCCTTCCAAGGGCCAGTATGTGTATGAGGAAGTGGCCATCTCCTTCCCCTCTTTAGGAAGTGACAGTGAGAAGTGCCAAGTATCTGAATTAATCCCTCTGAAGGGTTCTATGGTTTCCCCTAATCCAGGGCAGCCCACAGAAATCCCTGAAGCCCCTTCTAAATCTGTCAAGAAGAGGAGTTTGGAAGGAATGAGAAAGCAAACTCGAGTGGAGTTCAGTGACACCAGCAGTGATGATGAAGACCGATTGGTTATTGAAATATGAAGCTTCCAGAGAAAGATGGTTTGTAGTCAGAGACTGTTGATGCTTCATAAGTACATGTTGTCAGGCTGGAGGGAGAACTGAACTCTACTAATGAAGCACCTACAGATTAGAAAAGCCATGTTGAGATCTTTCCTAGCCAACTCCAACCAACTCCAGACCCCAACTCTACCGCACTTTCCCCCTGTTTTCCTCAAGTTCACGTGGTGCCAGGCAAGGCAAAGATGGCCATGAAGCAAAGTCTACAAATGCTCACTGCACACAGTGACTAGGACTTTATTCCCAGCCTGATCTTTTGCATCTGTCCCACTGCCTTCCTCCAATAAAATGACATGAATGACATGTTTCTGAACAGGTGAACCCCACAGAGTCAAGGCAACTGACTTTCTCCACCAGGAAACTGAGAGTTGCTTTAAAGGTGGTGAACATGCTTGGGATAGTTGGATAGAAAAAGACGGGGTGTGAATTGGTCATCAAGATACTTCTGTTCGCTTGGAGACAAAAACTGACATTCATTCAAAAACTGAAGTTTGGTCAGAGTAAGTCACCTTCTTAGTGGAGGTTGTAAATACACTGCACAATGTCTATGATCCGGTGAAATGCTAAGTATTTTTAAATGTCGTGCAAATGGTCAATGTTCATTTATGGTCAAATGACACAAGCACCTACCTTGTGCCTGGTGCCTTTTCTGTTGAGACCTCTGAGACTGTTGGTTTTTCTATCTCTTGCAAAGGAACATTGTGCTAAAAGTTAATAGAACAGTCTCTCTATAATGAGTCATTTTTTGAGGGGGAAAAATTCACTTATTTTCCTCCGATTCTTTTTGTCATATTGTGCTCTGAGCAATTTCAATTAGAGGGTTACATTTTAGTAATCTGTACAGCTTAAATTGATGCCTGCTCGTCGTGACGGGAGCCTTTTAGATTTCCTCCAGAAGCTTCAAGGATACAAAACTAATTGGAGTTTTGACGCTGTTTTACATCTCAGTAATTTTATTTTGGGGGCTTGGTGTTACTTTGCTGTCAAATTAAATCAGCCTCTGTATTGTGCAAGTCAGAACAGCACAGATAAAATTCCCAAGTATTCCAAGCCAGCGTACCCCTGTGCAAAGGAAAATAGCAGATTTGCGTCAGCCAGCCCAGTAAGCAAAGCATCAGATCTACTGCCTTCCTCTCCCTCTCCTTTCATGGGAGAGGAAAAACTTAAAGAGGTTTACACTGCTGTATTTCAATAAAATTTTATACTTCCTTTTGGTATGATTTTATACAATTCGAAATTTATAGCCAAGGTCTTTTGGCTTAACTTTGATGTAATGATGTTCTTATGGCATCTCATACTTCAAAGGCAAGGTAGAAATGCAAAATATCTCACACATGTGAATACAGTTTAATATGTCATTGCCTGTTACTAAGTATGGTCAAATTTCAAGTATCTTCATGTGAATTTTCCAATTTTGGTGTTATTCATAGAAAATTTCAATGCCTGATCAGCTTCCCCTGGTTACTTAGCATATGTCTGTGGTCATTTCACATGCACTCATAAATAGCCAAGTGAATTCAAGCCCAGCCAAGAAAAATGTAAGAAAGGAGGTGAAAAGGATAGCTAGACATTCACTTAGTGTACTTCTTAAACCAAACAGCAGTGATGTGGTAATTATCTACTCTTTCAAATTATCCATGCCACTATAATGAGAGAGGCAGTGTAAGAAGTGGTCTGAGCACTGGAGGAAGAGAGATTGAAATTCATCTTTGACTAGTTGGAAAATCTTAGTTAAGACCCTCTCTGTACCTCAGTTTTCCTAAAGGAGAATGAAAGAATTGGACCAGATGAGTTGAATGTGTGTCTCCAGGTTCCAATTACTGTGAGGGTGGAAGATAGAGAAGCTGCCTTCTCCTTAAATTATGTGGGCTTGATGGCTTAGAGATATTATTCATGGCGAGCTATTTCCCCAGGAGTCCTGCATGCAAGAAATTTGGTGGGGACTGTGTGGAACTGAGGCACAAAAAATTCAACCAATTACTACTATGAAGAACCTGAGCCTAAAGAAATTCCATCTGATTTTTTTCTTAGTTCCAGATTTTGGGGTGCAGCCACCCAGTTTATGCAAGTGGGCTTATGGTTCAAAAATTAAAAGCAGAAACAGAACAGTAATGTATTGGCAAAAAAATGTATCTGTAGGCTGAATTGGCTCCTTTGTCTTGGGAGGAATGAATTAGAGGGAGAAAAATTATCTTCCACATCCCCCTTTTTTGGAGGACTGCTGCAGTGTCAACTGGATCACTGGACCTAAATCAGTAAGTCATGGGTTCAAATAGCACCAACTTCAGGACAGTGGTAGAAGCTCTGTGCTTATAAGAGCCAAGGCTGAGATGCCGGCTGCAACATCTTAGCCTGGGTCAATATCGTGGAATGCTGATTTCATTTCTTTATCTCCTTGTGTCTCTTACAAATGTGAGCAGGTTGGCAAGCCTTCCTAGCCCAACTGGTCATTTAGCTAGCAAGTGACACTCTTTATAAGTGTACTTTATATCAACATGAATTTGTGAAAAGTTGTATTTCGATGGATTTTTTAAAAATCAAAAATGTATTTTGAATGACCCTAAGGGAGTTGACTATAGAAAAGCATACTAAATTAAAGATTTTTTTAAAGATGAAGAACCCTTTCATAAAACAATGAACAATCTTTGATTTTATAAATCTTAATATTCCCATGAGTTTTCTTAAAGTAAAATACAAGTATAGAAACACTTTTTAAGGGTAATGCCAGCAACCCAGTACCTACTTTGGGTTATTGAAAATAAAATTTCAGTGTTATCAATTAATAACTGCTGCTGTCTTACACTCTCCCGGGAAAGGGAAAATAAATTCATTGTAGAACAAGGCAAACTAGAGTTTAAAGATCAGAGATTTGTCTCTTTCCCCAGTGCTGTTAATTTTATTGTGTCTTTAGGTAAGGATCTTGACTGTATGGTGCCTCAGCCTCTTCCACATATAATGGCTCCAGGGATGCTGGTGTCGAGTAAGGCAGAAGGCACTTTGGAGCCATTGCCATTCCTGTAGGACAGGGCACACTAGGGCAGGGTCCATGATGATCAAGACTCACCACCAGGCTCCTCTCTCCAAGTGAAACTACCCGCAGCCAGATCTCACTTGTTAGAGATAAATGTAAGAAAGTTTTCACACACCTCATCCCCCACTGCACCCCTGGTAACCTATACTGTTAAATGACTCTTAAAGTCACATTGCTGTTAGTGGACAATCTCTATCTTCTGTGTTGTAAGGCAGGACAAAGAACGGCTCATCTGTTAGAGATAAACTTTGAGATTCAAGACAAAGCTAATACTCCTTTGGTTCACGCCTCACAGTAATCAGAGGAACCTAATTTCCTTTTACCAAGTGATTAAAAAAAGATGAGGGAGGTGCCTCTGGGTTTTAATCAGCATACCACCAATAGCATGGTGGGTAACATAGGGTAAGTTAGACTCCTTTCTTAAAATCTCATGTCTAAAGCTCAGATCACGGGAGCAACCTGCAAGAGTGCATTGTAACCACAGTCCTTGGCATGGAAGATAAACGATTTGCAGTTTCAAGCCAAAAAATATTTCCTTGCATTTACATTCATTACTTAGAATGATCACATTATTCATTTTTTTCCCCAGCATAGTAATTTGCATTTTGCACAAAATTTGCCTGGTGCAGCAGATTTTGATAGTTATGGAAACTGTCATCATTATTGGAATGTGCTGCTGCTCAACTCCCCAGACATAATTTAATATGGTGAGGATAAAATGACCTGCCTGGCTCAATGGGTGGTCATATTTCTACTACCACAGAAAACAGGGCTTGTGTATTTTTCTTCACTTTGGTTGTTATTCCCATAGTTCATGTGAGGGAGACTCTTCGGTTTTTGAAACACTACAGTTGTCAATACTTAAGCACAATTTCTTGTCCTTATCTTTAAAAACACATTAAATATGGGAGTCAGAACCTAGAAAATCTCATGTGATTTCTACCCTGTACAATTCTTTTCACCCATGCTTGATACTTGTATACAATTTGGTTGAAGAAGTATAGGAACTTTTGAGTACATCATTTCACCACCAATAGGAGCTAGGGAAAACCATCAGTCTCTGTTACTTGGAGCGCTAGAGGATAACTCAATGTCTTATATATGCAGTCAGCAGTTCAGGACTTGCTACTCTAGTGATTGTTTATAATCAGAGAAATGATTGGCTTCTTGGTTGTTTGTGGAAATTTATTTCCTTCTTTATAAGGTTAAATTATTTTGTTTTGATAAAAATAAAACTTAAAATGAAATGCCTTGTGTATTTTGTTAAAATTTTAGCCAAAACCACCACAAACAATATCCAGTATGAATTGGATGTCTGATTATTCCCAATTGATTGAAGAGACACTCTCTCCGCCATATTGATATTCCATTCCACTCAATAAAGGATTAGTTCATGGCAAAGTATCTCATTTTCTTGTGCTGTTTCTTTTTCCCAGGTGGCTTGGTTGTTATTATCTGCCATATTTTTTAGTTTGTAACTTAGTAATGTGTTTTTAAGTTCTTAAATGTAGCTAAACTTTGAAGCCACAGGAGGGCACTATCCACAGTGCAATAATCCAAAACTTTTCTCCTTGGAATTGACGTTTCTTGGATATTTGATATTATTCATTAACAGAGAAAGTGTCCTTAAATCAAAATTATACCACCTTATGAAGATAATTCATGTACTCCTCCCAAGAATAAGTAGACTTAGACTTATTCTACAGTCCAACACAATATTATTATTCTATGTGTAGATCTTTTGAAGATACTGGAAGTCAATGGGGGCAAATGCATTGGAGAAAAAGTGGGAATGGAAATATGGAAGGAACAGATAAACTAACTGATGGAACTTAATAGCTTTTTTTCCTAGCTTATCAAAGTCTAGTCATAATAAGTTAGTTCATTAAATCCAAACTTCAGTCATTCAAGAGCTATCTTAATGCTTTTTGCC